ACTATAGAGACGAATAATGTGTATTTATATGTTATATTTTAAGGAGAATAATGTCTGGGGAGCTAATTGACATCAGAGCTCACTGAACCACTAGAGAGTAAAAGAGATGGTGGAGAAAAAAATTAAAGCCTTTTTGAGTAGTACTTTCATAAAATTATTTCATGTGATACAGCAGTCCTATAAAGTAGATGTTGTTCTACCCAGTTTAGAGAAAAAATAATCAAGCTCAGATTTCTCTTTTAAGTTACTTAATTTATAGTTTAGAATCAGAAGTAAAAAATGAACATAAGCAGTAATTCAAGGTACATTAGTGAATGCCAAGGAAAATGCAAATGTGGTGTTCATGCATTTCAAAGGAGGGAGTAATTACTTTAGCTCAAGAAATGAGGAAGTAGTTTTTGAAGGAAGAAGAGATTGAGGTAGTTCTTATACTCTGCGTATTAATTTGCCTGGATTGGGATATCATATTAGAATATAATCAGCCCTCCATGTTCATGGATTGTGAATTCATGGGTTGAGCCAACCACTGATCAAAAATATTTGGAAAAATGTGGGTCTATACTGAGAATGTACAGACTTCCTTTTGTGTTATTATTCCCTAAACAATACAGTATGAATACTATTTACATAGCATTTACATTTATTAGATATTATTAGTAATTTAAAGGTGATCTGAAATATATGGAGGATATGCTTAGGTTTTTATGCAAATGCCATGTTGTTTTATAGGGGTCTTCAGCATCTATACATTTTGGTATTAGAGGGCAGGGGAGAAGAGGAGTGTCCTGGAGTCAGTCCCCTGTGAATACTGAAAAACAACTGTAGTACAGATTTAATGGTTTAAACAAAATGTATTTATGCTCTCGTAGTTTTAGAGGCCGGATGTCCAAAACCAAAGTGTTGGCAGGGTTGATTCCTTCTGAAGGCTTTGAGGGAAAGTCTTAGCTTATAAATGGCCACGTTTCCCCTGTCTCTGTCCAAATTCCCTCATTTCTCCGTTTTATAAGGATACCAGTTTTACTAGATTAGAATCTACCCTACTGACCTCCTTTTCATTTGATTACCTATCTCCAAATAAGGTCATCTTTCAAGGTAATAGGAGGTTTATTTTGAACTAACCTACTATATATTAGTTTAACCATCGTGAGAAAATATATGAAGGCATTATACATATAGATATTTAAGTTATACTTTGCCCTTTTTTTTGTATGGGGGTTTGATCAGGGCCTACACCTTCAGCCACTCCACCAGTACTTTTTTGTGGTAGGTTTTTTCTGGATAGGGTCTCATGAACTATTTGCCCAGGCTGGCTTTGAACCATGAGCCTCCTGTTCTCTTGCTTCCTGAGTAGCTAGGATTACAGATGTGAGCCAAATTACCTTTTGTGTTGCAAGTTTTACTGGCTTTCTCTATTATGCTAGTTTTTCCTATTTGAGGAAAAAAAGTTCTCTTGAAGTGTTTTCTTATCCATTAGTCTTTTGTAGATTTTATTAAATGTTAAACATTCTAAATTTCACTTTCCTAAAGATGACAGAAATGGAGTCAGATGATCATTGTCAGAAAGAACAGGTGCTTCAGAGGGAAAACTTGAAGTTGTCATCCGAAAATGTTGAGCTGAAGTTTCAGCTGGAACAAGCAAATAAAGATTTGCCAAGATTAAAGGTAAATTATTTAATGATCTTTATGATAGTTAGGAAATCAAATGCCTACAAAGCTCTCCCTGCCAGACATTTAGTTGTTATGTATGCTTATATTAGTTTATGAAATGCATATTCATAAAATATCACAGTAATATTATTGAGGGCCTACTTTGTATCAGATTCTCTTCAGGTGCTGGGATACAACAGTTAAAGAATTCCTGCACAGAAGGCCGGCCTTCTGTGGGAAGATTGACAGTGAACAAGTGCACAAGTTCACATGTAGTGTCTCAGCTGGTGTGAAGGGATGGAGGGAGGGGTATGACCTAGAGTAGTGAAAGAGGACTTCCTTTTAATAGCTAGGGGAGACATAAGGGAGTCACACAGCTAACAGAAAAATAATTCCAGACAGTACAACTAGCGTGTTCAAATGAACTGAGATGTGAGAATACTTGGTATATTTTATTAACAATTGTCACATTTAAAAATATAAGGATAATTATTTCTTTAAGAAATACTTTATTCTGATGTTAGTAAGTTTTTTGTCTGATTTTTCTGTATCTTACCCTGTCTGTGGGAATCTTTATTTTTCTCTTGACTAGCTCCTTAATTCTGCTTTCCCATCTAGAATAGTACTAGTCTGTCAGTTCCATTGGTAGTGATATAATTAAGCTACGTCCTGCTTCTCATTCTGATTTCTGATAGAACCAGTGTAAGAACTTCAGTTCTCTTTTTCTGTGTACCATATGGGTAAGTATCTACATGTATAAATTATGGGACAGTTACAATAAGAGTCCTAAATCCAAATTTATATTGTATACTTAGGCAATAGTATAAAAAGTATTTCTTGAATGTTCATATATAAGAGATGCTTTTATTAATTTAACATATGTCTTAGTTCAAACTCCTTGGTAATTCAAAGATCCAGTTGGTTAATTTGTTCAGCTAGAGTTTATTAGTATAGGTGGATTCCTATTAGTATAGTCAGTCCTTAGAATGACTGTAGTTATCTGAGATTGTTATGTATTTTCTTTTATCTTTTAGAATCAAGTAAGAGATTTGAAGGAAATGTGTGACTTTCTTAAGAAAGGAAAAACAGAAGTTGAGCGGAAACTTGGCCAGGTTAGAGGGGTGAGTATGTGTCAGGAGGTCAGGGCAAAGACTTGAGCCTTTATTTCATGTTGGTGAGTAGCACAAATGGAAGCAATCTGAATGCCAAAACTTTTCGGGGAATACTATTTAAATTATTGAATATTAGATGGTATTAAGACGGTAAGCAACATTTGTTTCAAAGATGAAAATATATGTGTATACTATAAATATGTACAATTATGTCAATTTTTTAAAAATTAAAAAGATCTTTTCTAAGTTAATAATGAATACTATACTAAAATTAGTTGAATGTTTATGGTTCAAGGTTATTCACTGAACAGAGTGCAAAAATGTAAAAAATTTAAGCACATTATTTTACTTAACTGTTGAAAATTGTTTTTATTTTAAATTATAAGTGGTTAAGCTTATTAACTGTTGACCCATCTCTGTTGCTATCTTGACATAAGATTGTATTTCAAATGTCTTTTCTACTTATATTAAACAGAAACAATTTCAAAGCATTGGCTATTCTTAGAAAAAAATTACCTTTATAATGCTACAGTTAAATTAGACTATTCATGAACTGTTTGAACACACATTTTTTCTTTTGTGATTTTACTCCATGTAAAGAAAATTTTGGTGTATTGGAGAGAACATTAGACAAATAGAATATTTAGATTTATTCACTTGATCAACATCAAAGCTAGAGTATTTAAGCTGTTACTTACTATAAGGATTTGAAGATTATGAAATTTTCTAAGTCTTGGCTTTTGTGTATGTAAAGTGAGAATTAAAATTACTGACTCACAGGTTGTTTTAAAATGGTATTGAATTAACATAAGGTCTGGGATAAAATATTAGCAATTATTAATAATGAGAATAAGATTGGACCTGTGGTGGTGTTGCTGCTTCCTTTATACTCTCTAAAATATTTGACAAAAGTTTTCATATTCTCTTATAGTCTGGTAGAAGTGGAAAGACGATTCCAGAACTAGAAAAAACCATTGGTTTAATGAAAAAAGTAGTTGAAAAAGTCCAAAGAGAAAATGAGCAATTGAAAAAAGCATCAGGAATTCTGACCAGTGAAAAAATGGTTAATATTGAACTGGAAAATGAAAAGTTAAAGGTAATCTTTTAATATGATCATTTTATGGGAATGTTTGCTATTTTAATTTTTATTTATGTATTTATTTTGATGATACTGGGGTTTGAACTCAGGGCCTTGTGCTTGCTATGCAGGCACTCTGACACTTGATCCACATGCTCGGCCCTTTTTCTGCTTCAGTTATGTTTCAGGTACAGTCTCATGTTTTTGCTCACGGCTCACCTTGGAAGGCAATCTTCTTACCTATGGCCTTCCACATAGCTTGGATTATAGGCATGAGCCTCCACGACTGGCTTGTTAGTTGATATGGAGTTCACACTAAGTTTTTTGCCCAGGCCAGCCTTGAATTGTGATTTTCTCTATCTCCTCTACCCTAGTAACTGTGATTATAGGCATGTACCACTATGTTTGGCCTTAATTTTTATGTATTTTTAAGGAAAGTTTTAAATATCCTTATACTACATAAAAGGCTATAATCGATATAGAGTACATATTTTATACAAAAAGAAAAAACATTGGTGAGAAAGGTAAGGACAGTTAAGAGTGACTCCACTTGATCTTCCTTATTATTTCAAGACTGATGGTTCTTATTCTGGAAGCATAGATTAAATTACCTGTATCTATGTTTTGTGTATGTGTGTGGCGATACTGGGGGTTCAGCTCGGGGCCTTATACTTGCTAGGTAGGTGCTCTACCACTGAAACAACAATCCCATCCCTTTTTGCTTAAGTTAATTTTGAAATAGGGCCTCCCTTTATGCCTAGGCAGGCCTGTACTGCAGTCCTGTTGTTTGTGCTTCCCTGAGTAGCTAGGATGACTGGCATGTGCCACCACCTACAGCCATTGGTTGGGGTGTGGGACTCTCAAACTTTTTTCCAGGCTAGCCTCTAACTCTTGTTCGCCCAGTCTCCACCTCGTAGGATTACAGGTTTAAGCCTGAGCCTAGCAACCAATATTTACTTTTAAACATGCAGATACCCAAGACCCCATCCTTGCAATTGATTTAGCTCCTAAGATAGGTGTTGAGTTGGGGGAATTTATGTAGTTTCGTTTTTTTGTTTTTAGTCTTCAGCTCATTCTACCATGTAGTCAAGTTTGGGAACTTCAAATATGGTCTCTAAAACTACCTTGAGTTAAGTTTTATGAGTTTAGAAGTGTGATTTCCATGTTTTAATAATATGCAGGGTTTTTTTTGATTTCTTGTTTATTACCAGGCTGAATTAGAAAAACTTAAAGCTCATCTTGGACGTCAGTTGAGCATGCACTATGAATCCAAGACTAAAGGCACAGAGAAAATTGTGGCTGAAAATGAAAGGCTTCGTAGAGAACTTAAAAAAGTATGACTTTCGTGACTTAATTTTTATTCTCATTAAGTGGTACATCTTGGTAAAAGTGAAAGTAGAACCTTGATGAGAATGTTTCTTCAAAGTAGATACTAAGATATTTAGGAAGTGTGCTGGCGGAATGGCTCAACTAGTAAAGCCACCTACCTAGCAAGTGTGAGGCCTGAGGCCCTGAGTTCAAACACCAGTACCACCAAAACCAAAAAGATTTAGGAATTGTGTTTTATGAATCTGGAGTCAGTATAATGTAGAAGCAGCTCAGTCTCAATTCAGCTGTTAGTTTTGTTACTTATTAGTCATGGGAATTAAGACAAACAGCTTTACATCTTTCTTTTCCTCAATTCCCTCGTATGTAAAATCAAAAGTAATAAGTATACCTATCTCATAGCTGGGTGTTGTGGTGCACAACACTCTAATCCTAAGCATTCGCTCAGGAGGTGGGAAAGGGATGGTCTCAAGCTTGAGGCAACCCTTGGATACATAGTAAATTCAAGGCCAGCTGTGCTATAAGCGAAACCCTTTCTCAAAACAAAAAAGCAATACACCTACTTCACAGAGCTGCTGCTATGACATTTAAGAGTAAGTCAGTGTTTATGCACTAACTTAGAACAATGCCTAATTTACAATAAGGAGAAGGAGCATAACTATTTAAATGGCAAAAATGTATTCCCAACTCCAAATAAGTATTGCTACTTATATGGATGATATAGTGGATGAATTGAAATTAACATTTTTAAACTAGTTAATAGTATCTGAAGGTATTGTGAGGCCAGAGTGATATTGTGTCTTGAATGTGGATGTTTAATAGTGGAAGCAGTCTGTGTTACTTATACGTGTGTTATTCTTAAAGGTAGATTTCTTTTAAGTATTATGATTCAAAACAGAATCTTTTAAATGTGTAAAAAGGTGAACTATCCTATTATTATGAAAATACTGCAGAGAAATTAAATGATAAAGTAACCACTAGTGTAAAATACTTATAAATGCATTTGTCTGACCTCATTTACATGAGCTTTTATTCTGGTTATTAGGATCATATTGATGTTTTAGAGGAGAGGAAACACTGGATTTTTGTTGCAATTTTAATCAGCATTTAAAACTCAAGTCATTTTTTGTTTTCTAACTTGCAGGGCTAATTTTAAATACACTGCATCTGTAAGACCAGTATCATGTATTGTTATAATATACTAATTAGCTTTTAATGATAGGAAACCGAAGCTGCAGAGAAACTGCGGATAGCCAAGAATAATTTAGAGATACTAAATGAGAAGATGGCAGCTCAACTGGAAGAGACTGGTAAGAGATTACAGTTTGCAGAAAGCAGAGGTCCACAGCTTGAAGGTGCTGACAGCAAGAGCTGGAAGTCAATTGTTGTTACAAGGTAGGACCAAATAGTTTAAATCTTATACAAAATATAATGGATTCTATTTCTGGCACTGTTAACTTAAAAGATGACCCCACTCTGATTTACCTAGTTTTTTCCTGATGAACAATTGTTTGGTTGTTTATGTTAATATACTTTTATTCTATCCTGGCAGTGCCAAAAATATTTTTCTTCCTTAAAATGTTTAACTAGTTTTGGTGGCAGCCACAGAACAGAGTAGTGCGGGAATTGAGCTAAGACCTAGCAGCAAGTGTGCATCACCAAGCTGCCATCAGCCATGAACCTTGGCTGAAACCACCCAACTTCTGGATGCTGTTTTTCTCTATCTGCAACCTGAGCTTCTTGATTGTATTCATTTTCGACTCAGGTGTAACTCAGGAACATTTGGGCTATTATGTCACAGATATGTCCTGATCTGCAGTACTTTCAGTTGTATCCTGGATGATTCTGTCTTTAGATAGCCCCAGTAGATGAATACAGCAGCAGCTTTAGTATCTAACTGGCCTCTGGTACATTTTCTCCCACCCTGTGAAATTTTGCTTTAAGTATATGGATTTCTGCCTATGAAACTAATCTTCATGCTGTGAAAGCCACTGATCTTTATGGCTATGGGAGATTACAAGTAAACATGTTATTGTCATTATCACTGTGGGTTCGTCATGACTGTGAGGCATTGGTAAAAGGGCTTTGGTGTCATTTCCATTTCCTATATTCAAGAAGTCTAAAAGCTAGTAACTATTGGGATCCCATGAAAGTCATCCTATATGAAGTTGTATCCTTTGCCATGAGCACATCTCATCTTTATCTAGAGAGAAACTCATCTTTATCTTACTGTCTTCTTTAAGTTTCTTATGTCCACACATCCCCGATCATCCCTGTGATTTCTTTGGAAGCTACATTTACCCCTGCCTGATTTTGCAATGACCTTGATGGGGAACAAGATGATATTCACCACTACAACCAGGATGGGGGTCTTAGCACTGAAAAACTACATAAAGTTCTACAGTGGAGCAGTTATACTACACTTAACCCCAGTCAGCCAAGTCTAAGGAGAAGGAGCAAAGTTAAGCAAGCATATTAGATAGCAACGCACATGGTTATGTGGTCCTGGAGGAGACCTTGGTTCCTATCCTGATACTATTCCTAAAGTAGTCAGAATCCACCCTTTGCTCTCCAACCCTCACTTTCCCAATACTAAGAACAAGTATTCTTTTCAAAGGCTAGTGTCAGGGTGAAATTAACAAGGTGATAGTATGGAAAATAAAGGTCTGTTCTTTTGTCTTCTTGGATCCCAATAGGGGCTCTCAGCCAGCAATCCTGTCAGTTGATTTCCTTGGACATTCCTTTATTTTCTTATGTAATCATGCAGGGTCTCAGAAAGAATTTTGAGTTACTTTGAGGTTTATTTATTCAGCAGATATTTTACTCAGCACCTGTTAGTACAAGATTCTGGGTGTTATACTGGCCATTAATTCTAAAAGGTTGTGCTTGCCTAAGTGCCTTCAGAGCTATGCAGCTTCGATCACTTAGAAAGACCTAATTCTTAATGTGACCCTGATTAAATTAAATCCCTTCTGTGGGCTCAAGTTATTTTTATCTGGAAATGATGGTACCTGTCCTTCTTTTTCTAAAATTTCTCTATCAGGCTACAAAAGAGATTATTGGTATAAAAAGGTTATTAAGATTTAAAACAGTTGTAGGTGATTATTATATTTAACTGTAATTGAATATGACTTCACAATTTAGATCATTTACATGCTTTAAATCTAAGAACTATATAGGTAAGTGAGCATAGACAATGCCCTCAATAAATCATTTTGAAGAAGACATAAGTCCAAGTAGAAACTTCTTTTTGTTTGGATTTGCTTTTGAGACAGGGTCTCACTATAACACCCAACACCCAGGCTGGACCCAAACTCCTAATCCTCTTGCCCCAGTCTCCAAGTGCTGAGATTTACAGGGGCACCACCACACATGGCAAATAGAATCTTCTTGACAGAGATAAGGCTCATTCTGATCTTTGACCTCTAGATTCCTTAAATGTAAGGAATCCAAATCTTTCCTTCACCCCTGCAAAAAAAAAAAAAATTGCTAAAGTCTAGAGCTAACATTATATACCCACCTCAATCAAGTAGTTTAAAGATACCTCTTTTGGTACTCATGACACATGTGGTCTGACTTATGCTAAAATCCTTATAGTTGCTCTGTTCATTATTCAACAAACTTATGAACATATATTCTGATCCCACTATGCTGAATGCTAGAATAGGCCAGAGTAACGTGGAGGCTATTTTAAATAGGGTAATCAGAGAAGGCCTTTGTGCTTGAGTGTCTTTTGAACAGAAAACAGATGAAGTGAATAAATTAGTTCTGATGTTTCATCATTAACCTTTGGTGGACATTCCTTACAAAATTTACATTCCCTTCTAAATTTCTAAGGTCTGTTCAGAACTATATGAATGCAATTTTGATTTTCCTTCCTTATACTGTTCTTGTCATATTTTATTTCCAAAGCAATACTAGTCTTTAAATTTAGCTAAAAGGCATTCCTTCCCTCTCTCAACCATGCATTTAGAAGTTTTCTTTGTGCAGTATTTTTCTACTTAGATATCTTTTGTGTATGAGTGTGTGAGAGAGACAGTGAGGGAGAAGAAAGAGAGAGATTGCTTGCCATCTATATATTTCTAAGAATATCTAGTAATATGAATTTGATATTCTAATTAATTTGATTTTGTATTTTCTTGTGCCTTAAAAAGAAAGGCATCCATTTAAGATTTTTACAGTTGCCAAATTTAGACTCCATCTTTGTTGTAATCTTGAGGTGTGTCTAAATCCTCTATTTTAATTCGTGCATTTGTTAATTAGGGATCTTATCCTTTGCCATCTTTTAAAGCTAAATAAATATGTAGCTGAAAGTTTAACTAGAAAAAACATCATACTAAGACTTTCCTGCATATTTTAGCATGATAATTTGAACTGACTTTCCAATCAGTGAAATTCCATATCACGCCAATAACATTTTTATGTATACTTTCAGAATGTATGAAACCAAGTTGAAAGAATTGGAAACCGATATTGCCAGAAAAAATCAAAGCATTACTGACCTTAAACAGCTTGTAAAAGAAGCAACAGAGAGAGAACAAGAAGTTAAGAAATACACTGATGACCTCAAACAACAGGCATGTAATACAATTTTTCTTTAAATGATAAAATGTTAATGTTATCATAGCTTGAGACGTTCTTATTGTCTTAAGAAGAAAAAACAACTCTTGATTAATTCCTTCCATAGAAGGCCAATCTAACTGAATTACACCATAATTTATCCATTTATTTAAACAAAAAACTGTGGATCATCATTGACTTCGTTCTTTTTTTTTTTTTTTTTTTTTTTTTTTTGCGGTACTGGGGTTTGAACTCAGGGCCTACCTACACCTTGAGCCACTCCACCAGCCCGCTTTTTTGATGGATTTGTTTTGAGATAGGGTCTCAGGAACTGTTTTCCCAGGGCTGGCTCTGAACCATGATCTTCCTAATCTCTGTCTCCTGAGTAGCTAGGATTACAGGCATGAGCCACCAGTGCCCAGTGACTTCATTCTTTCATTCCCCACATCTTTTTCATTATTAAATCATGTCAGCTGTAAATTCTTTTTTCTTTTGGTGGTACCAGAGTTTAAACTCAGGGCTTCCTGCTTTGCGGGCAGACTTGCTACCACTTGAGCTATACCTCCAGTCCTTTTCACTCTGTTATTTTGGAGATAAGGTCTCACTTTTTGCCCAGGCCAGCCTGGACTGCAATCCTGTTATAGCTTCAGTCTGTAGCTGGTATGGCATGCTTGTGCCAAGCTTTTTGCTATTGAGATGGGGATCTCAACAAAACTTTTTTGGTTAGGCTGGCCTATAGCCTCAGTTCTCCTGATCTCAGCCTTCCACATAGTTTAGAGTGACAGTTGCACACTATTGCACTTATCAGTTGTATTTTCAAAATATATCATATCTATTTCTCAACATCTCCATCAAGTAGCTTGTGTGTGTGTGTGTTTGTGTGCTGCACCTCTGGGCTTCATGCTTGCTAGGCAAGTTCTATCACTTGAGCCACTCCACCAACCCAAATCATCACTAGCATTCTTATGCAAGCCCTTATTTCATATCTGAACAATTAATTTCCTAACTAGTCTCTTGATTTCTATTCTTGCATCAATTCACCTTTTTCCTGTTACGTTTTTTTCTCCATAGTTCTTAAATAATTTGTAAAGCACAAAGCAAGTCACTGCAGTCCTATTCTCAGAATCTTCCAGTGGTTCTCTTATTACACTCGTATAAAACTTTGTAACACAGTTCTTTTCATAACCTGTATGTACATGATCTGACACCTAGTTTTCTCTTCGGTCTTATATCACTTTTCCCATTATTCAGTGTTTTAGCCACATTAACAAACCAAATTCATTTAAGCTTCACATCTTTGTACTTACTTCCTTTGTTTAGAAGTATTCACCCAACATTCTCATAAGCCCCTCCGGTACCTCAATGTCTGTTTTAATGAAGGCTCCATACAGGAGACCTTCCCTAATCCTAACCATACCACCTCCCATCACTCCATCATCCTAATCTGGATTATTTTTCTTGGTAGCCCTTTCCACCCATCTGGCACTAGCCTCATATCACATTATGTATCATATATCACATGCTCATTACTTGTCTTTCCTCACTAAAAATGTAAGGACCATGTAAGAAGGGATTCTGGCTATTTTGTTCACTACTATGTCCTCTGTAGCTAGGACAGTGCCTGGTGTGCAGTAATGAGTTTCTTAATAAATTGTTGAGTGAATGGTGAATTTAATATAGAAATGTGATTACTGCATGCTTTTGACAACCCAAATTTTAATATTATAGTTTGTTCCATCTAAACTTATCTTCTAACTTTTCATTGTGCCCAAAGATTGAGATTCTCAAACATGTTCCTGAAGATGTTGAAACAGAGCAAGGCCTTAAAAGGGAGCTACAACTTCTTAGGTACATAAAATGCTCATATGACTACTTAGCTTATTTCTTTTTTCCTTTTTTAAAAATTATTTTATAGTGAGATTTGCTACAACTAAAGACTAACATTTGCAAAACTGGTTAAATCTGCATTTCATCTTTTTAATGTCATTTATTCTGTCTACATACTGAAAAAAAGATAAACCCATTCCTAATAAGCTTATAATTTGTAATGTAGTTTAAATTTTCTCAACATAGATGGAATGAAACTTTATCTTAACAGAGGCAAATACTAATGAAAAGAAAAAAAATGAAGTAATTTTTTATTTCCAGGAGTTTGTGTAGCCTACTTTTATTGGAAGCCTCTTAAAACTACTCTTGAAAATGACTTTAGGTCAGATATTAAGAAAAACAAGAAGACTTGATTCCATGCTCATTGTGGGAATGATGGCATTGTAGCATAGATAGTAAATAAATAACTACTTTGGTAAAACTACATGTTTTGAATACCGTACATCACTAGTTTGTGAGAAATGCCCATGTATTTTACAGACCAATGTCTTTCTTTTTAACAAACTTTATGTTCTAGATTAGCCAATAGACAGCTGGATAAAGAAAAAGCAGAATTAATTCACCAGATAGAAGTTAACAAGGACCAAAGTGGAGCTGAGAGTATAGTACCAGGTAATGTATTTTATAAGATTTGTCAGCTACCTTAAATTTTTGAATTAGGGTTTGCCCTTTACTGTTGTTTCAGATTTTTGATAATTGTCTTCTTATAAAATCAAATCCCTCATATGAAGTTTTAGAGCTGACATTTAGTATAAAAACATCCCCATTCAGCCTTTTGAGTTGTTTGTAATAAGTAGCAAATACATGTATTTTACTTCCTGCATTCATTGATTTAATCGTAGTAAAATACTAGCCAATGAATATTAAGTCTTTTGCTTCTAGTTTCTAAATAGAGGCTTATCTCAATCCCAATCTCTCTGAGTATTTTCTTCTAAATGTTACTAATTTCTTTTGATACTAACTTAAGAACTGCAGATAATACTGTCTTTTTTCCTATTAAAATAAAGTCTATACTACTCCCATTCCTATTCAGAAATGATCCATAATCATTCCCGTTACTACATGCACATGTACTTGTACACATACATTATATGTACACACATATCTGTACAATGCATAATTGGTCATTATTTGTATTTACAAATTTGCTGTTCATTAAAATGTATTTGTGACCTTTAAAATCAACACTCACAGTGCTTTGGCAGACATATGCAGTGAAAAATTTGAGAAATATGGCTCACGTATTCCCTCCTGAGGCCCAGCAAGACAATGTTCAGTATTCTTGTTTCAGATTTCATATCATCGAGGTGGAGTCAGTAGTGGGCACCACAGCATAGCCAGCTGAAAGGAGTTTGAATCCCAACTCTGACACCTGTTAGTGGGACAACCTTAGGAGAGTCACTTAACACTTCTGAATGTATTCTCTTTTGTAAAATAAAGAAAATAGAATCTACCAGGATAAGTTGTTTTTAGTATTTAAGATTATAATTTATGTGAGATGTGTCTGTGTTTATGCATGTGTGTTTGTGTACCTCAATTCCTCTAGGAATAGTGCTTGAAAATTCACTAATTTTTTGCCAACTTTATAGAATAGAGCTATCACAAATAAAGAGAATAGACCTTATATGTATATTCTTTTGTTTGTAAACATGTAAATAAATATTTTCCTGGAAGATGACATAAAATTGGATCCATACCATATTTCTAGCTTATTGCCTTTAACAGTTTATCATAGAGATCTTTTAAGGTCTCCACAAAAATTCCTCATTCTTTAAATAATACTATAGTGTATTACTGCATGGGTACCACACTGAGCCATTCACTTTTCAGTGGACATTTACTATAGTTCTAAGTTTCTGATATTACAAAATAATTCTGTAATGAGCCTCCTGACCTAGTCCTGCCATTATTTGAAAGCTAGTGAAAGTGCCAAATTCTGCCCTACAGAATTATACAATTTGTGTCTGAATAACTTTTGATTATTTCATATTCTTTTTCAATATCCTATCGTGTAGTCCTGATGTTTCTTCATTTTTATTTTTTGCAGCACTGGAGATTAAACCTCATGTATGCTAGCTAGACAAGTGCTCTTATCACTTGAACCACACCCTCAACCCTTTTTTTTGTACTTTGTTTTTGAGATAGGGTCTTCCCTAACTTTGCCCTTGCCCCAAACTCAAGATCCTCCTGCCTCTGCTGTCCAAGTAGCTGAGATTGTATGTATGCCCCATCATGCTCAGTTGCAAATTTGTAAAGCCCCAGTGTATGACTGTACTATACATTATGCTAAGTGCTTTACAAGCATTGTTACTTTTATAGCCCTATAAAGTTGAGTACTGTTGCCTTCATTTTATATATGACAAACAGATTTGAAGATATTAGTAACCAGTCTCAAAGGTCATGACACCTAGGAAGATTAAAACTTTTATGTAATTATGACACTTCGAAGCTCTTTATTATTCCTTGCTCTTAGCTACTATGCTTCACTGCTGCTTGGTAACTAAAAATAATCTTTCTTGATAGCAGCTACTGTGTCTACTGGACTAGACACAATACCAAAGTCCTGTTAATGCTGCTGACATCAGGCAAGTTCTCTAACTTTTTTTCAGAATATTTGAGGCCTCCTGATGCTTACTTCCTATATGAAGGGGATAAAGATACTGTCACATATTAAAAGATTGTTAAGCCAAATTAACTAAAACTGTTTTGGAAGTTCTAAATCACTGTCTAAATACAGTCATTTAAATAACTTTTGGAAAATGCTAAATGTAACATTCTCTTTGGCATTGCTTCACTACCGATGTGTGTAATGTATAGCAACGCACTGATAAAGAATCAACTGTAAAAATTCATTGGCCCTTTCTGTAAAAATTAGGGTAGCTTCAGAAAATATTTTGCTTTTCCTTCCAAAGGAAGATGGTTTCTGCTGACTTCAGTACCATAAGGAAATATTTTTTTCCACATCCTTTTTGACCTCTATCCTTCTGTCTCTGTTATACTCAGGAGACCACTTGAGGAATACCTTAATAATAGGCTTATTTTCTGAGTCATGTAAATTTGTTTGTTGCCGGTTTTTCTAAAATTTTACCTTTCAGTGTTGTACAATAAGACATGATATGTTACATATAGTGGTCAATCTAAAGAAAAGATATGTCTTGCAAAGATGGCATTACAGCAGAAAGCCTGTTTGCCTGTTGATTTTTGCTATAAAATTAAGATTTTTGTTTTCCACGTATTAGAGATACACGGTGTTTATCTTTGTATCATACATCTTGCCTTGTATGTTTTACACACACAATAAATGTGTATAGACCTACATGGAGTAGCCAATGCTATGTTGCATAGGAGGAGCATTTGGGCAGCTTATGGTTTTAGCCTCTTGCCTGACAGTCTGTTTTCCTTCTGCTGTACTTTTAGTACCTCTCAAACTTTCCTTTGTGTAAAAAAGGTAACTATATCCTATACTTCTAATACCTACCAGATACCTTTTCTCTTTTTGCTTGCTGTGGAATGATAATACTTTATCTAATAAAGATTGCATTCACAACCTAGAAATGTTATAGCCATACAATGCCTGTTTCCCAGGCTCTAGGTTTCCTAAGTTTTTTGTTTATTCTGTAGAACTTTAACTTATTCAGAGTGGAAAAAAAATCTGAGTTTAATTCTTACAACTTTTTTGACAGATGCTGACCAGCTAAAGGAGAAAGTAAAAGATCTAGAGACACAGCTCAAAATGTCAAATCTAGAAAAGCAACATTTGAAGGTAATTATGTGTATTTAATTTTATATTATAAATGTTTTGGGAAAGCAGCTATAGAAAGCAGTTTTTATTATCACCATCTTTGAGTTTTAGGTATGTATCCTAAAATTCATGGATTTATGCTTATGTAAAATATTTTACCTTGATATTACAAAGTTCATCATATTCAGCTATGGTAAAAATTTATTGAACAAGACCTCACAAAAATTCCAACAAATGCAAAATATTTGAGAGTAAATTTATTTTTAATTGTAACAACAAATATAACTCTTTACACATTTTAAAATATCTTCTTAATTTCTGTTTGGGGCCAAAATGTCTTCTAAGTACCTTTTGGAATTCTTCCCCTAAAGTTACAGTTCAATAAAAATAAGTAATTAAAATCTATGTCACTTTTAAGACTGTTAACACAATAAAAGGGCCTGGGTAGGAGCTTGACTAATGATCACTGGTTAGTCTATGTAGCCATTACAGCTCAAGTTTTCTCTTTGCCAAATGCCTAGCTTATCTAGACAGAAGTCCCAGGGTTTCCCTGATCATAAATGTATTTATAAAAAGTTGGTTATTCATTATTCATTAAAAGTTAGGTGTTTATAGAGAAAATATAAATGAAGACATTTTAACCAAAATATCTTATTTGAATTACTTGTATTGTGAATAGCAAAGTTCCTTTTGATTGCTTCATTGAGAGTATCTGATGAGCTTTTAGAGAAAAGTACCATAATGTAGAGTTAATAAATTTTAGTGAATAGAACATACACTTACAGAATGGATAATGTGGGCTGGCAATTTATTTAAGTAACAAGTTACTTAAATTGTACAGTGGAACCATCTTAACAAACTCTTAAGAAAATACTTCTGCCTTTATAACTATATTTGACTATTCAGGTTATTTTGTGTTTATTATTAACTTCTTTGATTCAGACCTAAAGCCATGTATTCCTATGTGTGACTTTTAAAGATAATATGTTCCTAATTAGGAGGAAATTAAAAAGCTGAAAAAAGAACTGGAAAATTTCGATCCTTCATTTTTTGAAGAAATTGAAGATCTGAAGTATAATTATAAGGAAGAAGTGAAAAAAAATATTCTCTTAGAAGAGAAGTTAAAAAAACTCTGTGAACAATTTGGAGCTGAATTACCTAGCCCTGTTGCTGCTTCTGAACAGTCTGAAGATGAAGAAAGTCCTGACAATTTCCCTATTTTTTAAGAGCCACATATAACTATAGTTTTAACTATTTTCTAAGTGACTTTATACCTCTTTCTTAAATTGGGAGTTTTAGTAAATATTGAATATTTAGTGTATTACATTTTTAGCGTATTAGAAAATTTAAAAATTTGAAGACTTTGGAGTAAGTTCTGAGCATAAAATAAGCAATGAACTATGGTGAATTCCTCTATATCCATAAAGTATTAGATTTTTTTTTAAAAAGTATTAGGGTAAATAATTTTAACAATTAAAATTGGAGTTTTATTTATACTTAATTATTCATGTACATGTTAAGATTCTCAAATGCTAACTATGATCTGTGTAGATGTATTGATGTGTATACACATTAAGTTATGAGGTTAAGCCCTTGTACAACTTGAAAGCTTAATGTTCATTACATTTTTCTTTATAAAGATTAAAATAAATTTATTCATTCTAAATTAAAATTTGAATAGGTACTTCTAACTGGAAAATTCATTTCTTCAAATGCTAGAAGACATACTGATATGTTGCACAGAGTTACACAGAACCTTGAGATATTTTTACCTTTGTAAACATGGCAGAATATTCAAGATTTGAATATAAAGTTACTTTTAATTGCATTTACATTTTATATGTCAAGTATTATATCTTTGAGCCTACCAAATATCTGCTTGTCAATTTTTGAAAGCTGATTAAACAAACTGTTAGTATCAAAGGCACAGTCATACTTGTTCAGGTTCATGTTGACAATAACTGGTTTTGAATTCAAATAAGTCTCTGGAATTGGCCAGCATAAACCAAGATGATGGCGATGGACCTGTAAAAAGGAAAGAAGGTACTAGCTTTAGTCTATAAATACCATCTTCATTTGCTTATAAATATTTATTTGGGGTACCTACTATCTGCCAGATACTATATAAACCTCCACTTTCTCTTACCTTTTTTTTAATAGCTGTTTTTCTGACATATTACTTATTACTTGCTTATTGCTTATCTTCCCCATTAAAGTAGGAGCTTCATGACAGCAGAGTTACTGTTGACTCTATTTCTTGCACCTGGAAACATGCCAGGAACATAATTGGGGGCTCCATGCAAATTTAACAAATAGTCTGTTGCTGAGTACAGAAAAAAATGTGGATGAAAATGTATTCTTATCAAAGGAAATATTGTCAAGAATTTTTTTTTTTTGCTCTGACTGTAGTAAGTTAAATGTGGTTAAAACATACATAATACAAGTGTGTTTACAGAGGTAGGGTGGAGAGCAGTGATGGAAAGTTAAGCAGGAGCTAATATCTTAATGTAACTAGACAGATGTGATTCTTTTATTCCTGAAGAATGAAAAGGACAAGGGTAAGAATGAAAGACAATGTTTTAAAAGGGCAATACAGTAATTTAAGCATGAATCTTGGGTTAAATTAAGATTAACAGTCAATTTGTTGTAAAGAAGTACACAGATTTCTAGATTAGTATCTTTAAGCACTGATAACTCAATGAAGTTTTCAGTAATGGAAGTAATGGAAAGAGAGATTAAAAGTAATATCTAAGTTTGTAACTTCAGTGAATTATGTGGAATCAGATGATAAAGCCTAGTTTCAGTTTTGAACATTACAAATTTCATATACCTGTGAGAAATCAAATAGAAAAGTCCAGGAGACAGAAAGGACACAAAGTATAAGATAATTAATTCATTCTGTATATATTAACTGTCACCTTAGCAACTCTTATTAACTCTATAGTCAAGTCAGTGTGGGAGATGCTGAGTTAAGTGAGGTAAAGGATGTATGAGAGCAGTGATAAACAACATGAATTTCGAAGAGGGGGTATGTGGTATCACTTTAATTCTGAAGCAAATCTGGTATAACCAGTGCTCGACCAAAAGAATTGTGGCATATGAAGCCAGACATCATGACATGCCTGTAACCTCAGAACTTGAGAGGTTGAGGGAAGAGGATCTCAAGTTTTAGGCTAGCTTGGGATACAGTGAGACCCTGTCTCAAAAAAAAAAAGGGCTGGAGGCATGGAAGCACTGAGTTCAAACTGCACTACCACCAAAAATAAAAAAGGTGGCACATGGGATATGAGATAATTACAATTTGTACAAAGAATTTTAGTGCCACTTCTTTATTATAAGAACATAAGACAACATAACCAAACACAACCTATTTTTTGCCATTACCTTAATTAAATAGCCATTATTGCAATGCCATACAATTCCTTCAATTTTACCCTCTGTGCAGCCTTCAAACCAGGACAGCAGTTCACTGTGTTTCAATGTAGGCAGATTTCTTATTTGAAATGCTCCATGTGGTATAAGAAAATGTAATGGATGTTTCTTGTTTCCTAATCCTAAATGGTAAAATTTGCCATTAGCCATACTCATTCAAAGGAGCTTTTCAGGAAAAATAGAAAAAAATGTATCTTACCAAATAAGTCTTTTAAAACATTTAGAAATAAAGTTAACAAAAAGTTTAATTGGTTTCTTGAAGAAAGATTAATCCCAGTGCATTAAAGTCTTGCTTTCATTGAAATCTGGCATCTTATTCCAATAAATCTAAATTCCACTTTTGTGCAAACTATGACCTACAGGCTGAATCAAGACAGATAACTGATTGTCCTAACAGCTTCAATGAATTCAGCCATACCCAATTATTTAAGTACTACTGATAGCCCATTTCAAAGGTATGGCCCACAAAGCCTAAAATATCTGCTAGCTGCTATTTCTCAGGAAAAGTCTGCCAACCTCTTCTCTACATCATTAGCCATGTTAGCTAATACCCAGTGATTGCCAAACAGCTGTACTGTATCTCTGATACTTGTATTCTTACTGTCTTAGCTATACACCTGCTGATAAGTCTACTTTCAATCTGCATATAAGATTTTACTATTATACCTTGTCTATAGGATTTTGTTATTAGGTCTGTCTTCTCATTCTCCTGTCAACATTGTATTTCAGAATGTCTTTAGTGTACTCAGCTTACCATAGTATATATTTGGATGTTTGATACCATCTTCAATGCCAATTCTTCATGTACCTTACCCTTGCCTAATTTTATTAATGTTAAAGTAACTACCTAGCAATGGAAAGTGCATTTTCAACCAACTCAATTCACCCAAATTTTAAAAAGCAATGAACCGTTTTACCTTAGTAATTACTTTTCGTGCATAGCTGTGTAACGTTATCACAGGAAAGAATAACAGGATAAAATCAAACTTTTGGATTAATAAATGCAAATGGCAATTAATAAATTAATAAATGCAAATGGCAATCATGCATAAAAATTTCCCAGGAATATAAAATTAACAAATGGATATGTGCCTAGGAAACTTATATTTGTTAATCATTCCTTTAGAGTGTGTATTTGTTTTTTAAGTTGGCCTTAGGAATTTCTCTATAAATCACAAGGTACTATAACTGAATAATAAGAAACAGGTTTCACTCACCGTATGGGTTTCCATTGATATTTGTACCTATAAGTTCTAGTGTTTGTTCTAAGAGATCTGATAGTGGCACTGCACTAATTTCCAAAAGTTCAGAATCATCAGGATGATGCTTTAATACCAAGGCAATTTCAAATTCATAATTAACCACAGAGGAATGCCAGCAATACTGTTTGCTATTTTTCTCTACTGGTACCCAACCTATTGTTTCAAGAAAAAAAAATTATTACATTGATTTTATTTGGATTGAAAATACAGGTAATTACAATTTTAGTATAAATTTTCCACATTTTCTGCATGTTCTAGCATATACTTTTAAAATCAGTGGGAAAGTTAACAGTTTCACTACTGTTCTTTTTAATCATAAAAGAAAGGTTCATTTCTTATTCTGTTGAGAAATTAACCTGTTTAATTATTCTACTACGGAGAAACCAACATTCTCTTACTAGAGAAGTCAATATGCTTCAGTAACAACTGAGCACCATTCTATATGGTGCCATAATAGGTTCCCTCATTGTGAAGAATTTACTGCTAAATCAAAGAAAGACATGGTAGGCAATATATACCATTGTGACCACACTTTTGGCTTTCATTACTGACCCAACTAACTGCTTTGCTGGTCAACTAGGCACCAGTGAAACTCACCCTACTTTTATCATATTCTATTTCCAAAGCTTACATTTTTTTGCTGTATCTCTGCTCTATAATCATTATCTTCAGAATAAACTTAAAAAGTCCGTTAGATTAGTGGAATGCAAGGGCCTTTAAGAATTCCAGAGATACTGTGGCCTCAACTTTTTAACTGACAGGTGACAGCTGATAAAATGTGTCCATCTTAGAAAAGAATTTAACCTTAAGAGGACAGGACATTCTTGATGTGATATAACTTTCATATAAATTGTTACTTTATGTAAATTTGACTCATAAATTTTCTACTATACAAGTGAACAAAATTAAAGTCTGCAATTTCTACTTGAACAGATCTTTTCTTCTTTATACTGGTAAACACAAAATTGCATTTTAGAAGAGATTTCATGATACCAGGAATGTGTCCATTTTCATCAGGCACCAGATTCCCATTCAGTTGTTCTATTTCCTTTGCTGGTATCCAGCACTCTGGAACAGGTTTGAAATCCTCCTCAACATTCCAAAGAAATTCTAAAAGAGTTAGAAATAAACTTGTTTGTAGTGATACTTAAAAAATCTATATATATATATATAATACTGAACACATGCAGTGGAAATTGTCAATAAAATCTCAGTATCTCATAACACACAAACATTCTCTAGTCTCACTACAATATGACTACTTAGCATTAGGATACTGACATTTAAAATTTTCTATTTTAACTTTCTATTATTTGTAGTCTAAAGTAGCCAATGTTCCATTATATGCAGATACTGACATTTAAAATTTTCTATTTTAATTTTCTATTATTTGTAGCGTAAAGTAGCCAATACTCCATTATATGCAGATTTGTGAATTTTAGTGCACTAAAAATAAAAATATATACATAAATTATACACACAAATGAATGTACATATGAACATACATAGTCTATTTAGAGGCAATTTAATTTAAAATACTAATTCTTTGAGATTTATAAAATTACAATTGTATCTTACATAAAATCAAAATGTATCTTTCATTATATTATACATAATTCATATTAGAAAAAAGAGTCGCCAGGTGTGGTGGCTCGTGCCTGTAATCCTAGCTACTTGGGAGGTGGAGATCAGTAGGATTGCCATTTGAGGCCAGCCCAGGCAAAAAAGTTCTCAAAACCTTAATCAATAAAAGCTGGGAATGGTGGCACATGCCTGTCATCCCAACTACAGTGAAAACATAAGTAGGAGGATCGCAATTCAGGCTGGCTTGGGAATAAATGCAAGATCCTATTCGAGAACTTACTAAAGCAAAAAAGGGCTGGGGGTGTGATTCAAGTGGTATAGAGCTTGCCTAACAAAGGCCTTGAGTTAAAACCCCAGTGGCACCACAAAAAAAAAAGGTTATAGAAATATTAGGAAAATATTTTTCAAGAATATATAATGAAAATGATATTCACTAATTAAACCATTGTAACCCTCAAAAAAAGAATATATAGTCAGTTATCATCTTTTTCTTAATGATGAATATTCAAAAAGATAGACTGTACAGAAATATCAGAAAATAAGCCACAAATTTCAGCTAGCTAAATCTAAAAAGTTTAAAGAAAAACCTACTAACCTTTTGACTTCTCTTTTGAATGCAGAAAATTTTTAAATCTTTTGTCAGCTTGTTTGTTGGGTTTTCTATCTAGTCGAGCCCAAAGGTATGGCTTATCTAAAAAAAAAAACAAGGTAAGGAAAGTATAAGAGGCAAACAAAATTTATCTTGAAAGGTATTTTAAAGTATTTATTTCAATAATCAGTAGAGCCACCTCTCTAGGAGAATCAACCCTGGAAGAGGGAAATATATATTCCAAGATACACAGCACCTTAGCAGTACCTGATGTTATAAAGACTTAAAGAATGTTGGGGATGACGTGGACACTTACGCTTCTTGGTCATATTACTAAGCAGCATGCACGAGAACAGAACAATCTGTATCCACAATGGGAACATAACCAGGTAATTTAACTCAGCCTCCCCTGAATATTACCCTACGGTGTGAAAGTAAATTCTGGCAGATCCAGATTAGGCTGACCTGCTTTGCCAGGCACTCACTCCTAGTCATGCATTAAACATAACAATTAAAGGGATGCAGCTTTGTAGTCATGGGTCTGAAGAGTTTCAGGGCACTGTGCCAGCATTCTTTATTGGTTAAAGTGAGGCTGATGGATTGTACTTGGTCTCACTGAGCCTCCTGGAGGACTCGAGGTTTACACTCGCTACTTAGCAAGGTACCTCCATGACCAGCAAAAACAGAAAAATCTCCAGCTGAGATTCCATTTTGGACTCCCTGATTCCAAGTGTTGCATGCATTTTTTTTTTTTTTTTGCATGCATGTTAACAGGTGCTTGAAAGATGCTTTTGCTGAGGAGCACTGATGCCTTCCTTGGGCCCAGGAAGCAACTGAAGGCAGGAAACATGATTACAAAACCTTTCCCATAGAAATGGAAGTTATAAATTGACAGTGGGGAAAAATAACCAGGACTACAAAAGGGATAAACTTTCAGCATAGCCAACTTGATGGCTAGTGAGTTTACTCTGCTTATTAATGAGACATTTTCTCCCCTTTTGTCCACATCCCAGGGAGCCCAAGATTAACACCCTTTACTCTTCAATGAAAACAGGAAGTCTTCTATCCCTTATCTCTGACCATCACAGGAGAAAACCTGTCAGTCAAGACATACAGCTTCAGGGATGTGGTACCAGGGGCACCTAAAGAACCAAGGTCAGCACCTATCCTGGGACATGCATTTCACTCACATATTCAAACTGAGCCCCTAACTTCCCTTTAAAAAAGTGAACACTTTCTCTCAGAAGGGAGACAACAAAGCTTTGAGAGATTGACTCTCCCTGTCCTCTCTTCCTCTGACAAATAATAAGTGATTTCCTTCTCCTCAAAAATGCTGCTGTCATTACTTGTGAATTGGCATTGAGGTCAGATAAAATGCACATATCACTCATTCCTGATCTGAAAAAATGTGTCCTGCCATAGCTTTAAAGCAGGAAAAACTACCTTTTACCTGGCCACTCCAGACCCTTTGCTGCATGACTGTCCTTAGCTGTGATACACATCTTTGTTATGTGTTCTTTACCCATAATAAAATGTGGATTTGTAAGCACTGTCTTCTTGTGTCTTGTGAGCATTCTTTAGCGATGAAACTCTAACCTTGTTTAGCTGTTATCATGCCTAATCGCATAGTAATACACATTAAAGTTTCTTAATATAAGAGCCTGAAAAATCTCTTACAGCCCCCTCAAATGTGCTAATCAGAGATTTATAAAAATTAACTATACGCTGGCTCATATATTATTACTTATTAGTTATCTACATAAATAATAGAAAGACCCAGATTAACATTACATTCTGTCATTTCTCATTGAGTGGACATTTTGTCCTTTTTACCACTAAATATAAAAAATAAATTTTACTCACATCCATTTGGCTATTGTAACACACACAAACACAAGTAGCGGTGAGTATATGGAGCAAGTAGCGGTGAGTATATGGAGAAACTGGAACCTTTGTGCACTGTTGGTAGGAAGTAAAATGGTGCAACCACCATGGAAAATTCACAATAGCTCCTCAAAAAATTGAAACTAGAATTACTATACGATCCAGTAACTTTACTTCTGGAACAAACCCAGAAAACTGGAAGCAGGACTTCAAGAGATAGTCATTTCCCCTGTTCATGCCAATATTCACAGTAACCAAAAAAAGGTAGGAACAACCCAAATGCTCATCAGTGGTTGAATGGATAAATGAAATGTACTATATAAATGCAATGGAATATCATTCAGCCTAACAAAGGGATGAAATTCTGATACTAACAAGGATAAACCGAGAACATTATGCTACCAGAAATAAGCCAGTCGCAAAAAGACAATTGCCTCTGATTTCCTGAACATGAGCAGTCAAATTCATAGAGACAAAGAAGAGTGCTGGTTACAAGAAGCAAAGGGAGAAGGGATGAGGGATAGAAGTAGTAGATGGGAAGATTCCCCCATGGGTATAGAGTTTTAGTTTTAGAAGATGAGTCCTGGAGAGAGAAGATAGTAATAGTAACACAATAATATGAATGTTAATTAACACTATTGAACTGTACACAATCTTAAAAATGGTTATAATGGTACAAGTTGTACACATTTAATGTATTTTAGAAGAGATCTCGATACAAGCAATATGCCCAGGTGCCCATTTAACTTTTGTATTTCTGTTGCTGGAATTGAGAGAAATATTACAATACAGAAGTAATCACAAAGGACATTGCTCTCTTTTCAATGATTTTTCTTTTCTTAACAAGTGAACAATTTGAACTTCTATGTCTCTTAAAGTACATTAAAATGAAGCACACTGCCAATAGTAAAAACCAATGGAAACAGAACTGAGATCATCCAATGAGAAGCTTTAAAGTCAGACAAACCTAGATCTCATTATCAGTATCACTATTAACTATAGGATCTTGGACAAATTATTTAAGTGGGCAGATATTCAGTTTCCTTATCTGCAACAGAGAGACTTATGGAAATTAGAGATGACATGTAAAAAGTAATCATCATACTGCCTGGCCCTTAGTAAGAATTAAGTAAATGATAAGTTACTCCCCCAAAAGAAAATCACAATGATGTAGTAAGTATAACAACTGGGAACTTTTTATTTTACTACTTAGGTTTCCAAGGGTTTATGAAGAATAAATGCCCCATTCCAGATGTATATAGTTTGTAAAATGATTAAGAAAAATAATAACTATAGTAAACATAACTTTATTTTACCTTTGTAGGTAGTAATATAACAACATGTTCCATCCACTTTTTCTGTTGGAATTGCACTGTATATATCTGCATCTAATGCCTTGTGACTTATAGTTTCAGTTGCCAAAACTTTAAATGGCTTAAAAAAGAAAAAGAAACTTGTTTAAGATAGACAGTCTCTGCCTTTGCACACATTCTCACTTGAAATGTTCTTAATTTCATTAGTTCTAAAGGAAGAGTTCCTGTCCATCCTCCAAGACAATTTAAAAATTCTGTGTTCTCCTGAATCACACCCTCCTGTTACACTATCACCACAAATCCCAATATTCTACACAAACTCTCTAATTACTTACGTTTCTTCATCCACCATAATGATATAACACCAAGGAACTATGTCAGATGCCATGCTGCATCCCTAGCACAGGTGTTCAATATGCATAACATATACTTCATAATTATTTTCCTAATAGATTAAGCCTTGTCCTTGGCACTGGAAATATATAGGGGAACAAAAAACATACTAGTCTTTAATAAGACTTGCATTTTAGTGGGATAAATCAGAAAAAATGCACAATACAATGTTTGGAATAACAAATACTAAAGAATAGGATAAAGTGATAAGGTGCTATTTTATGTATGGCAGACAGAGAAATCCTCTTTGAGAAGGTAACCATCTGAGCAGATTTGAAGTGGGGGAATATACCATGTAAATGTCTACAGAAAAAGGACCCAAGTCAGGAGGCTTCTTGATGTGTTTGAAGAATGCAAGGCAGCCATTGTGTTTGGAATTGTGTGCAGGTAAAACCAGATCTGTTTAAATAATTCCATAGATATGTCTAGTGGCTAAACACACTTATTTACCGATCATAATTTTCAATATTTCAAGAATAAATCTATTCCCCAATACATAAGACCTTTACCCACTTTATAAATACAAACATTTTTGCTATTTGCAAAACTTCTTTTTCAAGTAAGACTTGATTCTTCTCAAGAGTTTGTGATGTCTTCTTGCTTCAGGCCACATTTTCAAGGAAAAGATACTGAAGACAGCTCATATACTGCTTTTGATTTTTTAAACTTTTCTTCTTGCAAAGTCATGCTCAGTATAGAAAATTTGTAAAATTAAAATATGCAAAAGTATAAATGAGAAATCACATATAATCTCATCATCTAGACTCAATCACAAAGAACCTTTTAACATAATTCCAGGATCTTTTTTAGTTCTTTTTTCTCACTGTAATTATCATCAATTTCTGTTTTCTACAGAGCAGTTTCTAAAACAGCCAAAGTCAAAAAGCTTTCTGGATTTGCTTGTTTCATATGCTTTTCTTTCCCAACTGCATAATAAACATGAAACACTGCAGTTTACTTACTAGTTCACCTCTGATCCACTATGATGAAGCTCATATTTCTGTCTAGAATATTTCATTCAGATCACAACTTTAAAAGCATCTTAATTCCCATAACAAGTCTGTCCTTGGTTCAGTTTTTAATTCCTAAAAATGTTTAAGTGCATTATAAAATTTAAAAAAAAGAGTTCAACACTCTTTCAGAAAACATATCATCTGCTTAAAAGGAAAATTAAACTCTGAAGGTTTCTTACTATTAACAGTACCTTCTTGTATTAAATAGACATAACAGTATTACAAACTTAAATTTTTCAGCTATATCAACTATGGCTGTTTACATTCACTTTCAAAATATCCAAGAAAATAAAAATTGCTTTATAAAACAAATCTTTCTTCTTCGACAGTTTTCTCCATAGTCACCAGATATTCCCATGTAGTCTTCTTAGTCTACTTTGTTGTATTCAAAAGTCTCATTATAACATACCTACAAAAATCTCTACATGGTCACCCATTCAACAAAGTTTGGGCATGTAGTTAGTGAAATGCATTGTCCCAGGCTATGCAGGCAGAGTACAAAGGAATTACCTCTTGGGTAAGACTTCAAATAAGTACTTACATAAATTCAACCCCACTGATGGCTGAAGGTGGTCCACTATGCCACCTTAGACATGATATACTCTACACTTCAGTACCATTTCAGTTCTGTTCCTTGCACAATGATATTCAACATCTGACAGTGATTTTGCTTTATTCATTAGATTTTGTTTGCTATGAGAGTATTCACTTCTTGTCCCCTTCATCTTTAGCAATAGTAAACTGTTTACAAGTTTAATTTATGGATTTTCTACTGTCAAGAAGAAAATGAAAAAGAGCATCAAGGATGTGAAAAGACATTTTTCACATTTTTCTAACATTCCTACCAATTTTTTGTAATTTATTTTCATTTCTGAGAAAAATATACACCACTCTTTTATAGTCTGAAGTAACTGTTACCTTATAATGTAAAATAATGTGCTGCACGTTATAAATATACTGGTGAATATAAAGTGCAAGATTAATAAAATGGAAGTACTATCTCAAACAGAATCAGAATTAGGAAATCAGCCTCATTCTAGTATTCCGTTACTTTTAAGATACAAATGAATGGGGATTTATTCACTTATGACATTGGTATGAGAGAATATCAAGTTAACCCACACCAATATAAACAAAGGCTCTCACCCAATACAACTGTGTATATGTTTAAATTTATAATAGCTCCAAGAGAGATTACTATGCTCTTGGAATTCCTGATAAGTAAAAAATTTTCCTTCCATAAGAATCAGTTATCTACCAGTCTTTGCCATCAACAAGACCAAAGTACAACACAACACAGTGAGGGGTAAAGCTTTCCATCTGTCATCAAAGACTTCAGATTACTCTTGGAAGTCCAAGGTATATATGCATAAAAAAATGAGTCAGTGAATATCAATTGGGCATTTACAATTTCTGGATAGGAAAAAACCACTGTGATAACTAACTGATCATAAATTTTTATGGAGAAGATCTGACAAACACTCTGGAGGTGAGCTAAGAGTGATTAATCTGAGCAAAAATACCGACAGGATTGTAGTTGGTACTTTCACAGGAAGTAACTGACTATAAAAGCAAGGACTTCACTTGAAAAGAAGGTTAAAGAGGGTACCAAGCCTAATTCGTGGGAGGCCTTGAATTACAATTAAAAATCTGGATGCTATGCTGCAATCAACACTACAAGGTATTCCTAACTGCAGAGAAAGGGTTTATTTTTCCTTGCACTGACTGCTTTTACATAATACTCCCTACTCCTAAACATAAAAGGTTAAGAATCAAAGAGTAAATCATTATCAAGGATGACGTTTTATGTTGTCTAGGCGTATTCTGGCTTAAAAAAAAAAAAAAAAAAAAAGGTTGACCACTACTATTACAGATGTTGAGTTAATGTAGGGTTTTGACTAGGAGAGAACATAGTGATGCTCATTCTGGATGCCAAGTAATACCAATCAGGTGCTCCAATAAGCAGACATGAAATATTAAAAACTCTAACAAAGACAGCAGAAAGGAATATGGAAAGATCAGATGTTCAAAGTAAAAACCCATCAAGGTTGAATGGAAAACTGTCATGAAATGACTCCAAGGTTCATTCCTTAATGAACCATGTGCCAGCTCCTAGAAGCTGGGACTAAGGATAACAGGGCAGTCTCTGCCTTAAAGGCCACTGAGTCTAAAGGGCAAGGCCAGGGCTGATGGTGAAACAGGTGAAATCGATTTCCAATGCACGTGCTGATTTTGTCTGAGTTGCAAACATCCGATAGCTGGCCATTCTTCTGGTCAAAGGTTTTGCTACATATTAAAGAATTATCCTGATAGCTACTTATTATTCATTTACTGAGGATCCAATATGTGCAAAAAGCAATCCACGAGGTCTGGTCTTAGTGGCCTAGTTAAGCTCGCTGTCAACACTGCCATCGCTCCTAGGTTAGGACAGATAAAGCACGTCTTTCAGTATGTCCATTTTCACCACACTCTTGAAAGGTAGCACAGTCCGGACTGCAGCTCACATCTGACTACTTAGGGTCTTTTATTAAAGAAACGCATTATTTGGAACTCGGATTTTCAATTTCCCTGCGAGGGCATGCCCGAATCCGCACCGGGAGGAAAATTCTCCCCTACACCTACAAGGGTATAAGAACCTAGAAGCCAGGACACAGGGAACTTTACCCTGCACCTCACATAAAACCCACAGCGAGCTGGGGCCTGCAGAGCGGCTGGGCCCCGTACCTGGCGCTCCCTCTTCGCGGAAGGCTCGTCCTTCACCTCCGTCACAAACGCACACGACATTTTCCGCTGCACGGAGCCCAGGCGTCGCATGGTGAGATGGCCTACGAGGAAACCGCGTTTCCGAACTGCCCTAGGTGCCCGCTGTGAGAAAGTCCCGCAACAGAGCACCAAACAGAGGCTTCCCACGCTCTGCACCCAGGACAGCGACGGCGCCAACGCTATGACCAACTCCGAGCGCGGGGCGGGGACGCGGGCCCGGAAGTGGCGTTTGCCGCGGGGCATTCTGGGAGTTGTAGTGCGGCCCTGAGGTTCCCGGCTTGTACTCCCACGTGCTCCCCAGGAGTTTTGATGACCAGTTTTCTGGTCTTGTGTGCTTAGCCACACCTCAGTAACTGATGCTATTTTTGAAAATTAAAGAATATCAGGTTATAAGTGATGAATCACTTCAGATGAACATTTAAGGCCGTTCTAATAAGATTTACTTTAATAACTTCTTGGGGGAAACATAGAGAAGTTTAAAAATAACTAAAACATTTCCACATCCCCAGAAAGAAAAACTAATTTCCAGGAAGAACACAATTGAGACAAAAATAAAATGTATTTATTATTCAGTTGAATATGATGTTAAATATTTAATAATGGTAGGGCCTCTATCTCTTTGCAGTTAGTAGTCTTCAGCCTAAATTGTAGGGGGGTGCGGGGGAGAGGGTTGTCTTTACTGTTTTACGTGGTTGGTCACAGCCCAATCCCCTTTTCTCTAATTGTTTTAGCAGCATATATTCAACTGTCTAGCATTTTACTTAAGTAGCTCTTGGAAAAATTAAATATATCTCACCTGAAGGCATCTATATGATAAAAGGCATTCCCCAAGGAAATCTCTAAAAGAAGTTCAGGTTTTTTGATTGCTGAATTCAGAGGAGGAGGAAGAAATTGCCATTTCAATGTTTCTTTTCTGCTATCTTTAATTTTCTCAGAGAAAAACGTACATACCCGCCCAAATTTTAGAAAAAAAAGATTAAAAAAAAAAAAAAAAACCACATAAGGCTGCCTGCCTATGTGTATTTAAATCAGAAACTTCTTAGCATTTTAGAGTCAACCATCAATTAACTTCTTTGCTTTTTCCAAGGAATCTTAAAAACATCTTGTTTCACAAGTCTTTTGTATTAAATAATTTCACAAGTCTCTTGAATTAAATAATCCTTACAACTATCAACTGCCATTTGCCAAACTGCCACAGAATCTTCTAGGTCCAACATTCTGTCATGTCTGAGAAAAGATAATCTTCTGAAACTTCCACTTGCTTTTTAAAAATTAGCAGCAAAGCTAATTTCAGAAAGCACTATTTCCAGTCTTTATTTTGGTTTCTTCACTGTCCAGAGCAAAGCCTCTTAGAAGAAACATGAGAGTTCTAACCTGAAGAATGCCACAGGATTAGTTCACAGCTGTAAAGTGCACCCCTACAATGATGGATAGCAGCCATAGCCTTTACCTGTGTCATCCAGTCTTGAAGAATCAATGGATTTTTGCTTGCTACTGGGCACTGTCCTTAAAATCGAAGAAAGAATTTCTTCTCTGACTGGTGTGTTAAATGTTGTAGGATGCACCAAGAACACACTAAATGCAAGTCAGCTTTGGCCAAGACAAAATGCTTCAGAGAATTTTCAGGCCTACTTCCAGCTGTGGAAACAAATTTCCTATCACTTCATGGGTAATATCATAGATTTCCATAAAAGACTAGAATGAAATTTACAACAAGAAAGAATAGAAGAGAAGTGAAAAGAAAAAGAAAAAGGAGAGGAGCAGAAAAGAAGCTTAAAAATGAGAAACTTAAAAGGGGCTACATATTCTAAAGGCTAACAAAATTTGCAATGAGAATCAAAAAAAAAAAATCCCCACGTGAGCTTGACCTGTTTTGCTGTGTCTACTGGAATGTGGTTATTCGCACCTAATTTCAAAGGTAAAAACATTTTTCAGCTTTTCCCCTGTATAAAATCATTTAATCAAGCAATAATGATGTTTGGTAACTATTTTAAAACAGTCCAATGAAGCTCTAAGTTCACAGGTAGAGAGGGAGTTTATCTGAAGGCAAAAACACTAAAAGACATTTCTTACAGGTGCTTCTTTCAGTAGTCTAGGTGCTTGTGATGGGTACTTTGTTGTTCCAGAATTAGAAACAAGACAGAAGTCAAGATATATTTTTCTATGTATGTTTGCAGTATTTTCTAGGGCTTAGCCAAATTCTTATTTGCTCTTTATTTACTTCTAATACTACCTAGTTATTTTTATTATTTTTTTATAATTACATTTTAGGCAAACCACTCTTTTCTAAATTTTACCTTCTTATTGTATTTCCTAGATTTTTATCCTAAAATATTGCATTCAAAAAGTTCATACTGATTTAACCAGTTTCACTTAACCAAAGTGTATATTTGTTTTGATCTTTATAATTTTCTAATTAAAAGTACATTGCAAGTTAGAATTGTATTTTATCTAGTATATTCTGTCACCTCCATTCCATCTTCTTGGTTGCCTATGATAAATATTTTTATTAATTTCTCCTAGGTTCTAATTCTTTTAGTAAAGATACTAGGATGTATAGTCCAGTAACTACTGAGGAACTGTCTCATTCTTGGAATCAAAGTACTCCACATTGTTTTCAACAAATTCTCAAAATTTTCAAGCACTCTGGAAACTTTCAGCACTAGGAAGAAACTATTCCTCCCTTTATAATGGGTGAAAAAGAAATAAAAACGGCAAAAAGGTAGTTTAACTTATTTTCATGGGCTTATCACAATCTGAGTCTGATTGTTTCCTAAATCAGTGGATAGCAGCAAGTACATACTTAAATCTATTTCCTTAGAATGTGGAAAGCATAGTTATCTATTTGAAATATCTAGATTTATTTCCAAACAATGTACAAAAATAGCTATTTACTTGTAAAATACTACTTTTTAATTATGAAAATATAAATTAATTTATGTTCCTTATTCAATCAGAACATTGAAAGAAAAAATATACCATTTTATTTTTAAATAGCATTTTGTATTAATATAGTAAAATTGGGTAAGGGAAGCACAGTATTCACTAAGGTAAACTAGCCTACAGTTACATATGAGATCACTTATGATGAGCAAACAATGGGTTAGGTAACAAAGAGGAAAATTCTGGAAGTTTGAGTTTGGGTGCTTGCTAGCAACCACTTTCAACATTTCTGCAAAGCTAGAGAAGGTATCTTCTAATTTAAATTTATTTAAGAATTATCTATTGTGTAATATACTGTCAACAGGAGGTCAGTTATAAAGGAATACTACTGATAGCCTGAAAGACTGTGAAAAAGAAATTCTTTTTCTTCTTTACACACTGATAGTTCTTATATTTGCACTCCTGCAATTCTTATATATATATATATATATATATATATATATATATATATACACACACATACACATAGAGAGAGAGAGAACAATCATTGGATTATCAGCAAGAAAGTTGAAAATGGCAGAAGTTGGGAATGACTGCTATTTCTTTTTTAATTCCACATGCATAAAGGTAAATATTGTACATATTACAATACTTCACATGCTTAAGCTTTTTAGTAGAATGATGGAAGATAATTTGTATTACTGAGTCAAAATTTACTATTTTCTCTCAAAATAGTTTATGTACTTAAAATCTAAAGTAAAAGCTTATGTATTTTTGATATACTGAATTTCTGTAAGGAAATCTGAGATGATTAAAACTTATGATTTGTTGAAACTACTCATGTCAGTTAGCTGCCTTTGGTTTTTTTCATGTAGTACTTTATATTATGGCTTCTCTAGACATCAAATTCTGAATATAATACTGAAGTGTTATATATCATCTTATTTTAGTTAATGTAATTTCTTTTATATAAATGCAGATACTTGAATTCAGGTCACTATCAAACTTAATGGAATATATCTAAATGTTTTGCTAACCGAAATTCATCAACACAATTACTGTATTTTTCCCTGTCAAAAGTCTAAGTAATAACAGGTAATTAAGTATCATGGAAAAATGGGAAAATGTCATATAAATGAATCATCTAAAAATTAACGGATCTCAGTAAAACCAAGTAAATGGAGAAACATCCTGTTCATGTCAAACTGAAACAAATGAAAGAGGTGATGTGTCTAGCTCAATGTTTTTCATCTCTGTGGAGAAGCCTGAATAAAGTCAATCTTTGACCACAGGAATTAGATCCATTTCTAGTGTCTTGTTATCTTTAGATTAAACTCTAGGATGGTAAATAACAATAGACTTCAGGTTTTGGGTTAGCAGCCAGTTTTGCCTATTTCTCTGTTTGTCCTCAAGTATTTGGCATACTGATTGATGGGTAGATAGGTGTCAGTAAAGGATTAAATGAATAAACAAATAGTAATCGCAAAAACTTACCTCACATGATGCTTACAACTCTTCTATGTGGAGGCTGTTTTATTCTCTTTTTTTACAAATGAAGAAACTGATGCGTAGAGAGGATGAGTTAAGTATTAGCTTTGTTATTATGAACAAAGTAGTGAAGCCAGGTGGTCAAATACCAGTTTATCCACTTTCAAAGACACTCCCACTACCCTTGAGAGTACACAGATCGGTATTTAAAAGGGGGAAGAGAGTGAAAACAGACGTAGGAAGGAGATAAAAGGTAAGGAACTACCATGGAACATGTATCAAAGGTAGGATGAATTTAATGGAATATTTTTATTGCATGTTTCTCAGCTCACTATGTGATAGTAACCTATAGTTTTTCTGTCTGTGGATCTATGTGGAAAAGAATTTTTTTTAAAAAAGTAACAGCAACTGATTGAAAACTCCACTTCTACTATGGTTGGTATAGAAAAATGTCAGTATGTATGTGTATAATCCAGTATCTTTGTAGGTCAAGGGCATACAGTATTTATGTTACACAGCCTAATGTGGTAATTACTTAAAACTCCATAATTATAGGCAGTTTAAGCTCCATTCTCTTTCTCTGTATAAACACTTATGGTATCTCCATAAACTGAGTAAGAAAACAGATTATCTAACAAAGGATTGATTGGTAGAGATTATCCCTACAATTAGAATATGTTTAGTGATTCTGAAGTATTTGTCTGGCTTGAGAAAGAAATTCATTCTGTCATAGATTGTGATCAAGCAAGGGTATTGCTAGTCTCATATGTTTATTCTTAGTAAATTCTATGGGTTAGCTGGTAATAAAAAGTAGCATTTTGTGAGAAAGTTGTGGCATGTTGTACTATTTAATCATTAGGTTTTCTTACCACTTTTTCACTAAAGATAGACTAATTTTACTAAAATTTAGGTTATGTTTAGACTATATTTAGTACTATATTGGTAGTGTGTATTTTTCAGATTCTAATTTTATATACTCATGGTTCCTTTAGTTGATAATCAATCTATGTTAATATATTGTGAAACATTAACACCAACACTGAGTTTTCTGGACTATTTATGTTATTTCTTTAGGGTTCCCAGTGCCGATTCCGACACTGCGAAGAGGCCCTTGGCAGTGACACTGTGTGCTCATTATGGAGAGAGAAAAAATGTTTAGATCCACTTTGCAGGTTTAGACACATGGAAATGCAGGTAAAATTACTCAACATTATTTTTGTTAAAAAGCATCTTTTCAATAATGTTCAATTATACTTTTACCACTTGATAGGGAAGAAATAATTCTTTTTTCCCACTATTTAATTTTAGGTGTTTTTCATTTTGTGCCACTTAGATTCTTAGAAAAGTGGGGAACATATTTTGGAATATCCATTCCATCTTTTAAATAGTAGAGCTTAGAAACACTGAAAGCCAGGAGACACACTTGAGCAGTAATTCCAGCTGTTTTTCCACATTGTGTTGTGTTTATTGTGAATATGGCATCCAAACTTTACATTTTCTCCCACCTTCTTTGTCTAGCAAAACTGCAGTATTTCATGCTTCTGGGAAACTCAACCACTTGGTTGTGTGAAGATCAGTTGTATCTTTTACCACAGCAAACCTCGAAATATCAATGGATTATTTTTGCCACCAAGTAGCAGTGAGTACAATATATTTTTTGAATGATTTGGACATACCATATTATAATCTGGTTTAGAAGTAACAGCATAGCTTGATACATTAAAGTACGACATGATGAACAATGCAGCTTAATAGCCAGAAAACTATCTCATCAGTGCAGTAAGCAGGGGTACAGTCTGAGTTACATAATTCTGCTTCTAGCAGAGCAGCTCTGTGCTATGGTTCTTCCTAATACTTTGTTGTGGAGTTCTTCCTAAGACTTTATTATGGAGAAAATACAATCTTGTTACTACAAAAGGCATGACAGCATTCAATCCAACTAAATGATAGCATGATTCTACTTTGTGGTGAATCTTAAAGTGGGTCTCAAAGGAAACACAAAAGATATCAGACTCAAAAAGAGTGAATACCAAGACCCTTACTGAAGAAGTTGCTGCTGTCAAGGTTTTCTTGATGTTGTAGCAACTTCACTCTCCTGCTATGGCCACCAAATATCTCTGATGGAACGACTCTAGAAATGAGCTTACAGGACATTTGTCCTTTGGAATTTGAAAAAAATGGCTTCAGATGGCAAATGGATAACTGAAACTTAAGTCCTTTTTTGTGCATCTTAAAATTTCTGATCTCACAGTGTACATCATACTTCTAAATATTTATCATATATGTTATACAATATAAAACATTACTTTGCAATGGTTGTGTTCCTCATGAGACTATAAACATCATAAAGGTTAGGAATCATAACTAGTTTCCTTACCACTTTTTTTGTGTAGTGTCTGGGGCAAAGATGCTCCATAAAACTGGATGTTAAAACAGATGAATAGTGACAACTGAATCATAATCTACTGGGGGGATTAAAGTTGCTGCATTAATTTAAGTGATTACCTTGGCCCCATTACTTCACATGCAGTATGATTTTATTTCATGAAAAATATTTTATTGCATTCTTTTTATCTTGCTAGTAATTTACTCCCTACTGGCTTATAGGAAAAATTAGTATCTATAAATCTAGCTCTTTTAGGACTAGAAGAAAACAAAGATGCATCTCTGGACAGAGGAAGGGTGGAATGTCTGTTTAACTGACAAATGCTGGGCTCCCAACCGTAAGGATATGTGCCCCAGGCTAACTGCTCTAGCATTAGTTGATTACTTTCACATTATTATTATATTCATAATTATAAACAGAACTGGCTTTTCTGGGAGTCTCAACTTATTCAACAGGTATCAAGACTTAGCCTGACAACTTGGCATAAGCTCTCCCCTCAATAAGATCAGATCAATATCCTTTTACTGGATAAAGCCCGTCCCCTAGGTATTCTACCATGAGGGAGGAATAAAGAGACTCACAGGCTAATACTCACCTTCCTTAACCTCCTTGACTCTTTCAATTGAGGACAAGAGAAAATCCCATGCACCTACCATGTTCTCCAACACAGAGATAACCTCATTGTGTCCACTTACGTGTTTTAAATTTTGTGAAAACGGGGCTAATTTCATTATCTCTTTCATTTTTTCATATGTCAATCAAGACGAGACTTTCAGATTACAGACTCCTATCCCTCTTCTGTCCTTTTCACTTGCCCCCTCCTCAACCTACAATTATCAACAATTCTTTCTCTACTTCTCTGAACCTTTCCTTCATTTTCACACTCTAATGTAACAGTCGTTTCCCCCAAACACCCTATTTGTAGTACCTTCAATTGTTGGCTACTTTTTTCTCCCAATCTTCAGGTAGCACCAAACCTAGAAGTGAGATGAGGGATTTTCTTGGTTCTCATTGCCAGCTTCAGATGATTCTTTGGTACTTCTTGGTAGAACCATCCAGTATAACTAATGTCAACAGATTATGTCATTTTACTCTTTAGTGTTGTCTTTTATCCATTTAGGTTCTTTCTCTTTGTTTTCAACAATATTAACTCCTGGATTATTATCACTGTAATACTATTATTGTGTGACTTTTAGAAATTTTAATATAAAATATGTGATCTATCATTATCTTAGCCTCTCAATGCCTTTATCTCAGCTCCTCAATCCTTCACCTCCCTTATATCTTTTCTCACTTCTACCTGGTAGTATATCCCTTTCACAGAACCTTCACTCTCTGGCTTCACTGATCTCTCTCTGAACCATAACTGATAAAGGAGAACTCTCCACCTCCTCTATGCCTACATCCATAGTGTTGAACATGACTGCAGAAAACACATAACTATGTTGACTGAATTAAAAATTTAGTCCATAATGCTGAATTTTAATCATGTTACATGACACACCGTCAGTTCACTCCTGTTGTCCTAGACCATCACCTTATGCTGCCTTTCTTCTCCTTAAACTTCCAACATCATCTCTACTGTACTGAAAAAACTTGAGTGATGAGAAGATCATTTCACTATATCTTCCTATCTACTAGTTTTTATACTAGCCTCGTCCCCATACTTACCATAGATGAACTATCATATACCTATCTGAAGTATATCATGCTGCTTAGTAACCAGATGCTACCCTCTCTTGTGTTCTCAAGGACATAAACTCAGAAATCTTCCCACTGTCTTCTACAGAATCATTTTAACTCTTGTCAAATCATTCCGATAAGCATACAAACATGCATTTATCCCTCTAATTACTAAAAAAATTCTCCCATCTCTCAATCCATTCTCTTACAAGCAACCACCCCCATTTTTTTGTTCCCATTATAGTAGTTCTCCTCAAATTGGTTATTTATTCTTGCTACCAAATATTTCTCTCCTTTCTTATTTCCTTGCAAATTAGTGTTCTTAGCCTCTTTCATCAAGGAGTCAATTTGAGTCCTTATTTAACTTGAACCATTAGAAAGATTTGACGCATTTGATCACCCATTCCTCCTTGATAAAATTTTCTTTCCTAGCTTCCAAACTCTACCTGTCTTCTTAGTGCTCTGTTACCACTCTCCCTTGCTGGTTACTCCTCTCTCTTCCAACATTTTACATATGCAGTGTCCTCTGTTCTTTTTTATCTCTGTTTCCTTGGAAATTGCATCCAGCCATATGGCTTTGAATATGATTCATGTCATTGATTCCAAAGTTTGTATATCCATTCCAGATGTTCAAAAATGACTTTTGATTCCTATATTTAGCCTCCAACTTGAACTCTTAACTTGTGTAACTAGTACACAATTCATACTTAATGTGTTTAAAACTGAACTCATAATTTTTACCCCCATTCTTTCAAACCTGCTACATTGATAACTCTATCTCACTTTGATAGCAATTCCATCCTTCTAGTTGCTCAGGGCATCTGAATTATCCTCGAATTCTGTTTCTCTCATATCCCACATCTAATCCATACAGAAATCTTGTTAACTATACCATCCCAATATGTCCAGAACATAACTTTTCTTATCATCTGTATATACCCACATTGGCCAAGCAGCCATTATCATGTCATAACTGGGTTACTACAGTAGCCTCCTGATTTCCCCACTTCATCTCTTCCCCTTTTATGTCTATTCAAAGCACAGCAGCTACAGAAACATACTCTTATACATAAATCGGATGTCACTCCTCTACTCAGAATCCTCCAGTGCTTATTCATTTCATTCAAAGAAGTCAGCATTCTAACAAGGGATTAAACAAGGGATTTTTGTCTGATCAAGTGCTGGTTCTCTGAATTTCTCTCCCACACTCATTTATCTGATCACTTCTGTAACCCCACTGTTTCCTTGCTTTTCTTAGGACATGTTAGGACATTCCTGCTTTAAGGACTTTGCAGAAAGTGCTCTTTCTTTAACATCTTTGTGGAAAACTCCTTTATTTCTTCAAAACCACGTTCAAATATTACCTGCTAATGAGGCCTATCCTTTACACCCTATTAGAAATGTAGTCAGACTTCCCATCTCTTCCTTATACAACTTCCTTGTCTTGCTCCTACCATCTTTTTGTCATTTCCCTTATTACTTTCTCATATATAATATAATCTATTTGTTTACTATGTCTGTTCTTTGTTTTCTGACTCCTTCCTACAGAACAAAAGGTTTTTTGAGAATTTTTATTTCATTCACTGATGAATGCAAAGCATCTAACATAAACAAATAGTATTGCCTTTTACCTAGTGGCCAGTTCTCCCCTAGGGTTCCTTGAATAGTATCTATTCAGGTTAAGTGGGAAACTTATTCCCTCTGTTCAGACACAGTTCTAAAATCTAGAAAAGAAGATCTAATTTCCAGACTCTAAGTAAACTATTGTCTTAGTCTATTTTGTGTTGCTATAATAAAATAATGAAAAATTCATAAAGAAAAGAGGTTTATTTGGCTCAACCTTCTAGTGTCTGGAAGGCCCAAACAACCTGGCACTGGTTTGTGACAGAGGGATTCCTCCTGACTGTACCACAAGATGGCAGAGAAGTACAAGGGGAAGCAGGCATGTGAAAAGAGGGCAACGGGAGATGTTAGACTCACTGTTCATGGGGATTAAACTAGTCCCAGAAGACCTGTTTCCACTCCTGAGAGACAGCATTAATCCATTCATGAAAGTGGAATGCCATGACTTAATTACCTTCTATTGGGCCCCACCTCTTAAGACTTCTGCCACCTCAGCACAACTATACTGAGGGCCAAGTTTCCAACACATGAATCTTTGGGGGACAAACCAAATCCAAAGCATAGTGTAACCATCAGATTTTGTTGAAATATGAATTGACCATTATGTTACCTACTCATTTTGGAAATATTTCAATACTTTGGAAGGTAATAATTTGATCTTTGGTAAACCTAATACTTCCCATAATATTTCTAGAAACACCGGTATTAACCAAAACTGGAACTCTAAATCTTTCCACCCTAAACAAAGATTAGATTATAAAGTGGCACTGTTATGAAAATCCACCCATTATGATATGTATATAATGTACATATAATTAATTTATAAGTTCAAGGTGGTATTATTACAAATTATGTGATAGCAAAATACAGCTAGTTAAACATCAGCTCACACAAAGCATTGTGTAATTGGTATGTAATTTTCTCCTAGGCTAAAATAAGTTAAAATT